AAGGTTTTATAGGGTGGGGAGTAAAATTCTTTCTAAAGAAGGGGACAAGGCAGAGAAAATTACCGTACCGGGTACATGTACATGTACCGTACATACATTGTAATGTACCCCTGTACACATACAGGTGTATTTACAAAGTAGAGAAATCTCCCATGGCAATGCTTTGGTCAACGTTGTACTGGTACGTGTACAGTGTACATGTATGCTCATCTCTGCCTGCATCTGACATGATGGAGTCTACAAGCAAGAGTGATGTACCGTTACAGTAATTAGGCAAGTCTGTAGTTTGTGTGATCAATTGGATGCATGATACCAGTCCTATTCCATCATCACCCCACTGTACATGTTGTCTGTCTCTCCCAGTCAGTTTGTTGGTACATCTATCTGTTCCGTGTGTGTGGGTGTGCGGGCAGGGGGTGTTGGAGGATGGGGGAGGGGAATTTCTTATCGGATACGGGTCTAATCCGTAGCCCCTTGAGTCATTGAAACTTTCCCCAATCCTCCAAAACCTATATGTACACGTACCGGACCTTTTTGTTTTTATTTGAGGGATTTGGGAGGTTCAGGGAAAAGTATTTGCATTCTTTAAATGAAGGAGCAGGTGATGCTATCCCTTCTTTGCTGTGTCAGTTGTTGGTACCTGTAAAGTATTCCTGCTGCTTGCTTGGGACATTGTAACCCTCAATGAGCTGGGGGGGTCAACATCTTCCTGCTTCCCTCAATACGGGTATTTCCTCTGATATTGTCACAATGCAATTTTTCCTGGTGCAGAGCCATGTTGAGAGCTTTTTCAGTTATGTCCCGCCATCAGTTTGAAACAATTTTGTGAAACTTTGACATTTCTATACATGCAACAACATGTACATGTTCATGTACCATTCTTGAAGAATGCCTGTTTTTAGCTACAGGTCAGCCAAAAATGTTGACTTGTTCTGATGACAAGCTCAAACTCAAAGCGTGCTGGCTGACACATGAGACCGTGAAAGTTGGTACATGTACATCTACATGTTCATGTTCATGTACATGTATCATGTGTAGTACACGTTCATGTACAAGTAAACCCCATGTGTGTTGGATTGAATTGAAACTTGGTAAGAACACGAACAAGTGTACAGTATACTGGTATGGGTACCAATGCGGTACACATGTTTGTACATTGTACATGTACGTGTATGTACTGAGTATGGTACTGATGGTGAGTGTCTTATGCAAAGCTGCAAAATAATTGGGTATGATACAGCAAAGTTCTTGGACCGAAGGGACAAAATATCCAGCTCTTTTCTAAAGGTTTACGCCCATCGATTATATCCACCTTCTAGTGTACACGTTGTGTGGTGTATAAATATGTGCCCCTGGATTGGAGTCAGTGCTTGTTGAACTGTTTAGCCACATTTAGTCAGGAATCTTTTGTTGCAAGGGCTTCCCATTCATTAAAACACAAACTGTAAACACTGCCTCCAAACTGCAAAACACACATGTACCCTGGTAGAGAACCAGTGAAATCGAACAAGAGACAACTCCAAGACAAATTTGCTGTGGGACTTGGTAGTTACAGTACCTGCTTGTGAAATGACAATGTACCAGTAGTGTACATGTACATGTACGTGTACATGTACATGTACATGTACGTGTACATGTACATGTACATGTACGTGTACATGTACATGTACGTGTACCAGTAGTGTACATGTACATGCATGAGTACCAAGATTGTTTTTATGGCCCATTTTCTGATGCTTGAGGGTATCATTATATCAGGGTAGATAACTTTTAAACTTTAAAGAACTTGTAGTTCACCGTTGTTTTTTTCATGGTTTGAAGACAAAAATGGAACATGGCTGAATGAGAGCTTCACACCCAGGAACAGTCAAATGGTCTGAAGAGTACATACATGTACAGTACATTTATAAGTTGCAACATGTTGCCAGTATAATTACTCTAAGTGTACATGTCATGTTTTCTTCCTGCACATACACTGGCTTTCTCCCCAAAATTATGTACATTTAACATGAAATGCAGTGTTCAATCAAGTCAAATATGAGTCTTAAATTGTTGGATTTTCATTTTTCTGTGACAAAATTGTAGTTTTTGAAAATACTCCTTGGGCCTTTCTCTGAGCATGAAAGACATACATGTACATTTATTGAAACTGGTACTACTTTTTTAAATGTACATGTAGGTTTAGGAAACTTCATGTAGTTTTGGGGGGCCAATATATTTAACTGTAACCAATTTTCTCATCCAAATTTATAAAACAATATTTTTTCAATAAGGACCTTTTACATACATGTACGTAGTGCAATTTTTCCATTAAAGATATTTTAGCACTGACAATTTGTAATTGAACATTGTTAGTCTACGTACGAGTACACTGTACATGTTTATCGTGCTTCAAGTAAAACATATTTCTAATTGTTTTTCAAAATTTCCAATTTGAAAGCTCTTCGATAGTTACCAATAAAGTGTATCAAAAATGTTGTGAATGATGCAATGGTACCGGTATGTACAATGTACATGTACTAGTATGTGAGTCGTCTTATCACATTGGCCAAGTGCACTTAAAGCCTTTTGTTCTGATTAAAATTTATACTTTTGATTACGATGAACGGAATGTCAACTTAACACTCCAACCGTTAACCCTGGCAGCGTTCTGTAAATTGGAGTCAACAGGCTTAGAACTAATCAATGCTGCCTGCCTGATGTGTCTACCAAGGGTTGCCGGGTGTTAAGTAGTCCGTGAGGGCCATTTTTCACTGTCAGGCAACGCTTGGCACGGTGCCCATGTTGATATAGTTGATAAAAATACATCAATAGGTTGTTTTACGACACCCTGATGTCGCAGTGAGCGTCAAGTACACATACATGTATGTAACCGGTATGCATGTACATGTATCTGTGCATGTACCATTACAATAGAAGTGCAGGGTGTAAATTTTTGTCACTGTCCTCACCATGATTTGCTTTAAATTTTTACATACATGTACACTGTAGCACCGTTTGTCATGCATATAATTTTGGAACGTCCAAATTACATGTAGCAGAAAGCAAATTTCAACTTGGACTTGGCGATTCACTTGGACATCGTCAGTCTGTCTCTGGAAATGATCAGTATTCAAATATTGTATCTATTACGTGCATGTGTAGAGCATTTTAGTATTCATCTTTGAAATAACGCGTTACGGGCGTAATATTAAAGACTCACAGTCATGCACTGGTTCAGTACTCACCATGTTTCATCCACAATGGGTTATGACTTCTGACCAGCACCCCTGAATGATGATATTTCCCAGATGTCTTATGGCATAAGATGTACAGTGTAATTGAAACTACCGTCCGGCTGTCTGTTTTCATGGACAAAAGGATGAAGTTACTCGTAGCGCACGTCATGTACATAGTATAGTACATGTACAGGTACATGTACCTGTGTGATCATTTTGTACAAAGGGCATACAGTGTTAGTTGGTACTTGGATTTTTTAAGGCAAATTTTAGAGGAGGATGAAAAGAAAGTATTTTCTGTGGTCTCAAGAAAAACAAGAAGGGTCTTCAAGTCTGTTGCAAGAATACTGTACATGTACGAAAATCCCCCCCCACGTATACAATGTACCTGTAAGCAAAACTTATACTGTGCATGTACATGTAATTCTGAATTCCTTCTGCAAAGAAAACTTCCATGTACATGTAGAGCTGTACATTTTGTACAGTAAATTCAGATCATGACTCTGAGAATGTGCATGTACATTGTACATGTATGCAGACTTATGCTAGGGAGCAATAGGGCAATGCAAAACTTCATAATTTCATCCAAATGTTTGTCCATAGCCCGGTATTATACTGTAGTGTACGGGTAGTTCCCGTGAAATCACAGCTGTGTGTTTCACTGCCAGACGGTGTGCAGTCCAATATTTGCCCTCATCAAACATTTGGTACATGGCCCAATTTGTTTTGCCCGTGTCAGATTGCAGGATTGAGTTTCCCTGTTTCTATGGTAAAGAAGAAACATCAAGTCAGAACTTATCAAAACGTGTTGCATCTGGTGAAAATGAGGTGCTTGGTGTCAACCTTCATCAGACGCCTCAATGTGCAAAAAAAAAAAAGGTACATAAACGTGACTTGTATTGGCAATATACATGTACGCGTACATTTGTAAATTTTTGGGTACAATACCAGTACGGGTAGGCATGGTAGGTGACAGTACATGTCCGTACATGTCTACACATACAGGTGTTGAAGTACAAGCCATGTACCTGGACTGGTACATGTACAGGTACATGTACTGTACTTACACATGTACATGTAAGTTTACAGACTTGTGGATTGAAGTGGAAATACGGTATGTGTAACATGTACATGTATCGGTACATGTACATCTGTGTGTTTTTCATTACCAGCTGATGCACAACGTTGCACTTACATACAATGTACATGTGGATAATTCCAGAAATTAGGTTCCAAAAGTGTGACATTTTTGTGTCCTCGTTACATCTGATCTTTGTTATTTGACATGGAAATATCACTTGAATTGATTTCAAACTATTGCTATTTGTTTGGCAGTTAATTTATTCATCACTCTTGGAAATTAGAAACTGTGTTTTGAACCTGCAAAATCAAATGTTAGATGTGACAGGGACACGAAAAAAAATGGACCCATGGACCCTTAATTTCTGGAATGTACATACATGTTACACATGTACAAGTATACATATTTTTAACCAATCAGAAATGTTCACTGAGTGCTTGTGTCCATGATCAAATGTACATGTACCTGTACTCTGTACATGTGGGTGCATCACATTGACTACATGTACATGTAAACACATGTCAGCCTGATCAGTACATCTGACAAATTCATTAAAGTGCACGTCTGCCTACTTCAATAACAGCAACAGAAAAATATTCTTTGAAGTCAAACTCTAGCACAGTACATGCTTGTGTTTAAATGAGTCCAGAGCTGTTCCTTTACCACCTTCAAATATCAGTTCTGTTTGGTTCAAACTTCAGGAGCTTACTAGAACTCCAGAGCAATGGCTAGTCGAACCTCTCCAAAGGCTCTCCCTCGGAATCGGTACTGACCAATCGGATTGCTTGCAGGAGAGCAAAGGAATTTTGGGTACCCATAGCCCAGGCCTGCTTGCTTTGGATATGTCCCAGTTCCGTGCCCGCACAGGAGTGCCTTCACGATACCCCAAGGAGTGCCTGCCTTCAGGTAATCGCATGTTTAACCAAGCAGTCCTCCATTGGTGTCCCGACATGTGTTATCAAATGTCAAATTACGCCCTTAATTTGATATAAATGTGTTTTTAAACACCACCTTCTAAATAATCTGACACAATTTGGGGTCATTAACTTTTGATAAGCAAGGAATCCTCTGACCGCCATGATAAAAGTTATGGAAGCATTTTGTTTGTTTATTGGGGAAAAAGCTGAACACAAAATACTATCTGTCGATATCCAACCCAATTACTAATAGTCTGGTATCTATCCAGAATGTCTGCACAATGCAGTGCCCAGCACACCCCATTTACTCAACAGATCCCACAATAGGCTGTCTATTTACACCTCTGACGACGCGGTCAATGCATGAAGTATTAAGCAAATCAAGCGAGTCCATCTGACGACGGACTTTGTCCATTTCCTGAGTCCTGTGTAACTACGACGCTCCGCCGTGGTTTTGGCAAGGCTGGCGACAGACACAGGTGAACTCACAAGTCAATCTGGCCCGTTGTACTGCTGTGTTTGTTTACCACTCTGGGTGTGATTTTCTTCAAACAGTGCATCGTGAGGAGGAGTCGGTCATGCATAGCCCAGTGCCACTGTCAGACGATCCATACTTCTTCACATCACCGCACCACCAGCCACTACAAGACGATCACACCCTGCACCATGGCTTGAATGGGCTAAGTATCGAAGCAACCAATTTGTCACACACAGGAAACCACCAGTTCCGGCAGAAACTAAGCTTCTACGCAACCAGAGGTGACCATCAGTTTGACTCATCCACAGATTCCCCACATCTTGATGATCAACACTGGCCAGACACTGCACCCATCACACAGCCGGACAGCTCTGGGTCTGCACTGGATGAGAATTCAGAGACTGAACCAAACTTCTCCACAGCGGATTACTCTGACAAGTGGTATTCATCAGCGGCCCCCAATGGTTGGGTTGAAGTACCAGTTCACAGTCCAACCAGCCTTTACAGTCAAATAACAAACCCTGCAAAACTTCTAGTGGAAGTAACGTCAGTGCCACAATGCAACCTTGACTTTTATGGGTCTGAGCCGTTAAGCTTGTACGGTCACAAATTCAATTCCCTCCCAGCTGAAATGGAACCTTACAGTGTTCTCGAATCGGACAAAAACCAGCCTACCTCAAGACATGTAAGAAATGCGGACACCGGGGATACAGATTTTAACTTGCCTTTCACAAGGGCTACCATAAATAGTACTCACCAGTTCTCAAGTAAACGTTTGGCTCATCCTAATACTCAAAGCTTTGGTTCATTGGATATTTCTCAGCCTGGGGATCCTGACCTTCGTGAACTGGACCAGTTGGACGACGCAGACTTGTACAGGTTTTCCGAGGCTGACGAGTTTGTCCACTCCAATCCCACGGAAGGCCTGTATGCACAATTCACCCCCAGAAAAGGAGATGAGAATCGCAGGGTGAGAAGGACATCAAAGAAGCCCAGAACTAATGAAACAGGGAAAAAACTGGACGAGGAAAAAGATGCAGAAGAGCAAGACAAGGATAAAGACTCGCAGCAGCTGGGAACTGGAAAGGAGCCTGCAAAGAACTGGAATAATAACAACGTTGCCACTGACGAGCAATATCATTCACAAGTTGAAAGACATTCGATGGGATATAAACACAGAGTACGTCAGCAGAATTCCAGCAGAAGTCCTCATGGATATATTGCGCCCTCTGACAATGAGCATAAAGTTTTGCTGTCATCTGACAGGTTAGCAGGCGGATATTCCCCGGAGTTGAGTGCAAACTCTTCCCACAACTACCAAATAGCAACTTCACTAGTCGGGCATCCTACCAGATTGACCTCTCGGTCAATTCTTCCCAGTGAAGGCAGTGGTGAGGCAGTTCATTCTTCCCTTTTGCGAGAGAGAATGGACAGAAGTTTACAGTCCAGCATATCACTGTCGCCGTCCACAGTAACTGTTGACACAGCTGTACTTCACACAAAGCTGCAATACAATTTGCAGTCTGGTGGTCATTTGTTGTTGCAAAGTGGCATGCACGATCCCACTCCTGACACCAAAATCTCTCCGCTGAGGCATTCCTATCCTGGAAGTCCAGGAGTTGGACTAACAATTGATGACCTGAACCTTAGTGTGTCTCCCATTGACCTGAAGCCAAGGAAGTTTCTAAACTCAAGTAGGAGCAGAGTAGAAAATCAAGGCAGATTTCCAGCTGTGAACAAAAGGCGTAAGGACAAGAACGAGATACCCACTCGTGAACATGCATCAGGGAAATCAAGTCTGAGTGAAGCTGTCCGTTCTAAACAAAGCAAGAATTACATGTACATGTACGTGGACCAAAGTTCAAGCAGAACACAACATAGAAACACTGAAAGTGCTCAACAGAGAACCAAGACCAAAAGCAATGTAAGTGTTACTTGTGCAGTGTGTACATGTATATGCATTGTAAGAACTAACTTATGCTGTAAAAAAATCCTTCTAATTTGATTGCTTTAGATTTTGTCAAACTGTTCATTTGTTGACTTGCATTTGAAAACCATGTTTTCATGTATGTACATGTATCTTCCACAAAATAAGTTCTCAGAAAACTTCATATTAAAATACAATGTCTTTATTCATTCTTAAACTTTGCATACATGAATATGTGCTGGTTTATGTAAATGTACGTACACGTGTATAACAGGTTTTAAACGTTTTCTTTTCAGGATGTGCATGTACTGTTCATGTACATGAATGTGTACATTTTTCAATGTGCTGCTTTTTCCTATGAATACATATTTGTATTTTCAATTGCAGCTTCAACATTTGGCTAGAGTCCCTAAACCTCTGAAGTCTGAGGGTGTTCCTAAGAAAAGGCATACAATGACAGCTTCAACAGCACCAGAAAGGTAAAGTTGACGGTTAAAATCTGCAGTATAATTTTGACCTTTTTCCACAAGGCTGTGAGCACCTCCACTGATGTCAGTCCACTGCTAATGACTTTAGTGGTATTGTGAATTACTGCTGTTCAAGAAACAGGGTTCCCAGAGTCATGGACAATCCTGGAAAAGTTAAGGAAAGTCATGGGAAATTTAGGGTGCCTGGGAATTCACAGGAAACAAAGTCCTGAAAAAATCTTGGAAATTAAGATGAAGGAAGGGTTTTATTTATAATGGGCTGCTTTCGTGAGACGAAGGATTAATGATGAATTTATAGGCTGTTATTGTTAGTCTTCACCTCAGTATCAATGGCATTCTTTCAGTTCATAACATACATGTATATACATATATCAAACAATTTTTTCCGCAAAAGGCATTAAATGTCATGGAAATGGGTCATTCTATAAATTTGGGTCCAATTATTTTCAATGTCCCTGTCACATCCGACATATGATTTGTAAGTTTGCAACACATTCTCTAATTTCCAAGAGTAATTAATTAATGCAAATAACCTGCCGAACAAATAAAAATAGTTTGAAATCAAGTCCGGCGATATTACCATGTCAAATTACACAGGTCAGGTGTAACAGGGACACAAAAATGTCATACATGTGTACACATGTGTACTTTTGGACCTCAAATTTATAGAATGACCCAAATTTTCATATGTTAGGTATTGATCATCCTGGAAAAGTCATGGAATTTGATTTTCAGATTTCTATTATGTAACCTTGAAGAAGATCTTTAATTGTAGTATACGTACAAACACATAGCTAATCAAAGAAAATGGAATCAAAGTCGGATAACCCTTGCTCTACTAGACCAGCATAAAACACTCTGCCCTCAGGAAATTCTGTCCGAAATATTCTATGCTCAGACCTGCAGTGTTACCATTACATCTGCTGTATTATAACAGCATAGAGGTGCAACGTGGACGGCGCTGTGGTGGCTCCAGGCAATTTATACCAAGAGAACATCAGTAGCAATCCTCAGTTTAGTCGAGTGCTCTTTGCTCCCAACTGATGCTCCCCTCATGATTGAGTCTTTATCGGCGATCCACTTTGCACCTTCCCGCTTCACGCCGCTTTGGAAGATGTTGTCTGGTTCAGGGTGAAAGACTGCCTTCTGGGAGCAAGGGCTGAAGACAATTGATTTGAAGTGGTCATTTTTTTTAAATCTTGTTTCCAGCCCCTTGACCTTATCAAGCAGCACCAGCCCACGCCGAACCTTCTCCATTCTCTGGGCTTTCAAGATATTGGACATCCTTCACAGCGCACCGCCAGATATGCAGGAAGAACTTGTCACCAAGGTACCGCTAGTAATTTTTTTTTAAGCAGATACGCCCGTACTAATGATACAGGAACAAAGTGCATTGGTAAATTACACTTCTCAAAAAAAAGCTAAGGACCGCTTCTTATTTTGTGTCTTTTTTATATAAGATATTTTACTGCTGATTGATGTCTTGAAACAATTTTTATTTTTTTTATTCCAATGAGAATACCATCTAGACAAAATGAAAGAACTAGACTAGGGAAAAAAAATAACAAGTTGAGAAAAAAGTGGTTCTCGACCTTTTTTGAGTAGTGTACCGGTATGTAAACTGCCTGTACTTGTGTCCACCAGAGTAAGCCATTATGTTTGCCGTCAGAGTACATTGTATTCCATTAACATACATGTGCAGTACTTGGGGGAGACACCTTGTGGCAAAATATCCCACCTGAAGACACATTGGAATCCCACTTGCTGGGCTTGCAGAATCTGTATAATGATATGGAGACTTTCCATGCGGCCCAAGTCCCAGTACATGTACAATGTACGTCCATGTATGTGTGCTTAATGCCATGTAATTTTTTTCTAGTATTATGAAAACTTGTTACATCCTGCTACTCTTTGAATGAGCACACATGGGGCAGGCTAGCATCTACATGTACGTTAATAGCACGTGTACGAAAGATTGCATGAACTTGCAAGTGCATTCACTTCTGCAGAAATACATGCAGAAGGTACATATAGATAGCCCCCTCACTAGCTCATACACAGAGCCAATACTATTTCCTGTTTGGCTTGTTTGTTCAGCTATACTGGTTCCGACGATGGCACAGGAATGTTCGTCTGATCAGGGTACAAAAGGAAGAAAGAAAGGAGCAATGGAATAGGTCAGTAGAAAGAATCTGTTCATATATTGGCGTCCTAAATTTGTATGGTAAGTCTTTAGGTTTATCCATGAAGTTGAAAATGAATTATGCATATCGTAGTATCTGTGTTCTGCACAGTATCTACCATACATGTAACAGTACATGTATCTTCCATTCAAAAGAACATCGTATTATCATTGTCCCTGCTCATCAGCCTTACAACTGAAGAGTCCTGAAACCTTCTCATCTCCCTCATGAGCATAAAGCCTGAAGGTGCCATTTTAGTCCCAAATTGGTGAACACGGTAACCGTCTTTGCCTTCACATGTGCTGATTTAGTCCTGGGTGAAGAGAGAACGTTTGGCAGTAAAGTGACTTGCCCAAGGACACAACATGCTACCTGCTGCTGGGATTCAAACCCACTACCATATGATCAGGAGCTACAAACCCTAACCACGGGGCCACATGTCCCCACTTTCATTGAAACTGATACTGTTTCCAAGATGTACAGTGTTGCTTTATATCCTGTATATGTTGTCTTCAGAGCTGTGTCACACTGCCGTCACCGGCTGTTGGCGAGATGCGTCCGTACCTGGAGGTTGGCTCCACTTAGCCACAAGAGGGCAGCAGACCACCTCCGGGCAGTCCACCTGCTGCGGAAGGGAGTGCATGGGCTTTGGTGGGCCGTATCGCAGAGCAGACAAGAGATAGAGGGCGCTGTTGAAAGATATGAAAAGAGGGTGAAGTGTCGTCACTTTGCCGTTGTGAGTACAGGATGGATTGAATCCCTCTTCCAAAATGCATAATTTTAAGTGGAAGAGGAGAGGATGAGGAATCAGTTCATTTAGCATTGTGTTGTCATAACGCTGCAAAAAAGGAACGATTAGAAATGTGCACAGTACCTGTATGTGTCACGGGAGTACTTTTAGATTTTTAGATAGACAAAGTTTGGTTAAAAATGAAAACTGAACAGTGGCCATGTCACTCAGTTTATACTTTTGTCATGTCACTCTTTTCCGTTCTCAAATGCAGTGGCGTGACCTGTGTCAGGTACGCACTGAGCGTGCCCAGTTACTGGAGAAGCTTGCGGCCAAACGCTCCATCACGGTGATTTTTCAGACGTGGAAGGAGCGATACAACTTTGCACAGAAGGATGGCATTGCAAGGCTTCACTACAAGTAAGGCCAGGTTTCAAAGCATGGAGACCAAGATCAAATCGTGTAGATGTGCAGACTTGAAGTATTGGTATAGAGGATTTTCAATCACGTCACTTTTGAGGGTCGGCGTTCAATTTACACAGATGTGTTTGGAAACGTGCACCTTCGAAGTCTCGCAGCAATTTGCTGTACGGTACATGAAATTGTCAATTAAAATCTGTTTATTCAATAATGCACACGCTGCCGCGGACTTGGAATGCTTCCAGAACTGCCTTTGCCCATCAAGTGACGCCATGTGAAAAAACCTCTATTACTGCAACAAAGCAGGCTTTTCATCCCAGACCTCAGTTTGTGCGCTCTTGTGGAAAGAATATTATTTAGGGGTTTAAAGGTAAAATTGTCTACTGGATTAAGTGTCAAAAGGCTTTAAATGTTCTTCAAAAGTTCCAGCGGGGTTTTGATGCATTTGAATGATCTCCCATTCTCTGGGGGTATTAGACAAACGGCAGGCAGGACAGTAATGTGCCTTGCTTGGGGACAAGGAGAACATTTCAATAGGTCAGTCTCTCAGCCTATAGATTGCGGTGAAATTCTTGAATTTTTTTTTAAAGATGACTGACAGCCGTTCTTATTTTGATCAGGCTGAATCAACCTTCAGTTGCCAGTTACCTGTAGTTTATCATGTTTATAGGCTTGCTACATGCACATTTAAAAGACTGCAGAGGTTAAACCATTCGTTCTGCAGACCGTTGCAAACTTAAATTGTTTTGTTTTATTTCTCGCAGGATTTTTCGTCTTCACTCAAGGCTTTGTTCAGCTGATTGACAAACTCTGAAAGGCTTCATGATTGCAACAAAGTTAAAGGTTTGTTGGACATTTTTTACTCATTTGCAGGGTCAGTCTCCTCACGCGGGGTCTCCAGCGCTGGAAACTGTTTACAAGCCAGTCGAAGGTCAGAGGCTACCGTGATGAGATGAGCCGGGTGCACCATGAGGAGATGACAGTCAGGAAGGCGTGGTGCACCATTAAGGCGGTGTATGCACAAACACAGAAGGCGCACAGTCACTACAGGTGAGTAATAAGGAATAGGAATCAAGTAACACAAAGCTTTTTATGCAAAGTTAAAACCTATTATCAATTTCTCAGTTCCTCACACGTACTTACGTACAAGTACGTGTATTAAATAACTGACAGTATTGAGGGTTTGCATGGCTGCCATCTTGCAGGTCAGTGCTTTTGTTCCATAGAGTCTGCATAAAGGAGGTTTTTCTTTGGAACAAAAGAACTGCCGTGGAAGATGGCTACATGAACCATGTAAAGCCTCTATAGGCTTGGTATTAGCTATGGTACATGTATATTCACCCCTGCCATTTTCCTCTTGTTAAATAATACTCTCCCAGTCACAAGCTTCTGTCTGCTGTTCTGCGTACCTGGGTAAGAGGCAGCCAGCTGGCCAAGGCTGAGCGACACCACCAGCACAGCCAGGCCTTGGAGCTGAGGCGGTGCGGACTAGTGAGGGTGCACTTCAAGCGTTGGAAGGAGGAGTTGTTTGTAATGCAGCTGCGGAAGAGGCTGGATACAGTGCGAAAAAGGTACAGAGAGATGTGGAAACGCTATCACTGGTCTTGATTTCATGGACCATGTGTTACCAGACTCACTTCACTTCAAATACTACAAAACTCTGCTGCTAGAATGATTACTGAGACAAGATAATTTGAATCTATTTCCCCGTCTTACATCAGCTGCATTATTCCCTGGATAACTTTTAAAGTATTGGTGTTGACTTGGTGCATTCATGAAATTGCCCCGGTTTATCTCCATGAATTAATTTGCAGATACATGTATCATTCTTTAATTAAGAATTAATTAATTTGCTCTTGTAACAAAGATCTTCTCACTCCGTACCCATTTCTCGCCAAATTGCATGGCCAACATGCTTCAAGTTCTGTAACTTTGTATGAGTGACGCATTAACCCTCATGGAGAGAAGGGGGCCAGGCCCCCATGAACTGTATTTGTTTATTCTTGACATACATGTAAAGACACTCCTTATCCCTACAAATGAATTTGAACTCCCATCGGACATATGGTTTTGTTGTTAGGGTCATTGGAAGTTTTCATGGTTACATGCGTGCCAGCCTTCCCGCCAGTAGATTCTTCCTCCCCGGCTCGTTTAGGGTTAAGGAAATATATACCGGTTTGTACAGAGCAAGAAAGTGTTTAAATTGACCCCTATATCATTTGATCAGGTATGTCTGGGACCTGTGGACCCTGCGTCTGCAGCGGCAACAGCTCTACCGTCAGATCATGGAGTCACAGGCTCGCAAGGTTGCCAAGCAGCGCATCTTCACCAGGTGGATGCAAGTTGCCAGGCGACAGAAGGAAGCGGCAGAAAGAGCCGCAGCCATGCTGAGGAGGACATATCTCCAGATGGTGTTTGGAAACTGGAGGAGCTACGTGAACAAGGCTCAAAAACTGAGGTAGGTCAGACTTTTTCAAGATATGCTTTGCGTTGGGGACATGTTTGGTCCAATTTGCAGCGGTACGCAGGGACAGCCACGTTAGCCATTTTGTTAATTTGTTACTACATAGGCAGTAGGCCTACATGTACATGTACTTGTATGCACTGATGTCAGTCTTTGTTTGCACATGCACTTTCCTAAGGAGCCAGTGGGGGCCCAAGGTCCACTGAGCACCAGAGGAAGGCGCACATGTAAACAGGGAGTGGCACCGTCAGTACAGAAACCTATTCTGCTTGTGGAGAGAGAGAGCAAAGTCTTCCTTTGCAGAAGTAACTTTGCTGTGTTGGTATCATAAAAGCGAAGTTGTTTTTCTGTCGAAAGTCAGAAGTGATCGTCTGCATGAAGTGTGGACCAGGCATTTGAACAGAAGTGGATGTTACTTATCTTCATGTAACAACAAGTGCATGCCTGCATTACTATTCTCACGGTTGTTGGAACTCAAATTCAAATGAGATTTTCCTAGCTTTTTACTTTCAGAAATATTTTTTCATTGATACCTACATGTACATTATATGTAAACAGCATTGTGCATTCCTTATTTGGACTAAGTTTGCTGTGATCAGAGCTTTCCATGTTCTAAAACATTTTTCATTCTCAACAGTCTTCATTTCCATTTTGATCTTGTTTCCATGGGAACATTATAATCTTTCCACATTTGGAACTTGCCCTCATTTACTCCTATTGCAGCCAACTTTACCATTTAGGAATTTGTTTCAATCGGAATGGTCCAAGCTTCCCACTTCTGAAATATTTTCTGATTGACAACAGCACGTATGCTCATTTCCTTTTGTTGAAACTTCTTTACAAAGCCAATTCCCATCCCCAGGATTTGGATCCAAGATCCTCAGCTTTTTCTGACCCTCAAATATTATTTTTCAGTTACTGCCACGGTGCTTGTTTCACTTTAAACAAAAAGCAAGGGTCAGATTCACATTCATGTAGTCATATGTATAGCTACTCTGGAAAGAGCTTAAATGCATTGTTATTAAGGGAATAAATATATGTTTGGCCGGTCTGACATGTGTGTTTCAGACCGGCTCCGGAGACGGAACGCTGATAATTCCATTCATAAATACCTTTTTGATTAGAGGTGCAACAGAAGTCAATATACATGTATGACAGATTTCCAGCGACTTTATTCCAGAATTTTACTTTCATTTTGCTGAACACCCCCGTCCATTTTACAGAATATTCCATGTTCAAATTGTCCAATTGGCGCACGCATAGGAAACCATGAGCACACAGACTCTTGACCAATCAGAATCGATTAAACTGTCTTGTATCCAGGCACCAGCGCGTGTTTTACACAGCAGGCATTATCACTTCTCAGCAGGCATTAAATGTTAATACACGGTCAAGTTGAACATTGTTGAATAGGGAGACTGTCTGAGGTATTTATGAATAGCTGCCGGTATTTAAAGCCCTTGAAATTCACATTAGTTTATTTTTACCATTGGTGCCACCCTTTGCTTGAAGTTTAATGGATCTCTCTTCATCCTTCATTCTCACCATCGTTAGGAGCACCCTGTCAGCCATCACCAGTGATGTTCACCTCAGGAGCAAGCAGCGCACGCTGCAGACATGGACCTCCAGACTGAGGGACTGTCTGGCTAGGCAGGCTGCACAGAGAGCCTGGTCCAAAAATTGTGTCCTCAGGGCGGTCAGCAAATGGAAGGAAAGGGTCCGGCGCAGACAAATGGAAGAGAGATTGGAGCAGTTCCGGCCCGTCCATGACGAACACATGAAAAGAGGTGAGATTTTTGAATATGTATACTGCAGTTTGCAAGAAATGTTCAGGGCACCATGCAGATCCTGCTCATCAGGAGGCACGGGTAGAAATAGTTGCGACAACTTCAGATTAGAAGCCATTTTGTTTCCACAGTTTGCATGCATGTGTATTATACCGTATATCATTTGTCCAAGTTTGATATGTCGTTTTCCTGTCACTTCAAAGCACTGTAATTCACAGCCCTTCTCTTATAAATAGTGCTGAATGAGAGCCCAGATGCTTAGTGCTTGCAGTTAAAATGTAGTTTTTATCTGCAACTGTACTCGTTTGACAGAAATCTGTTGTAGAGCACTCTCCATTGTGAAACCTGATTGTAACTTTGTGCTTGCTTGACATCAATATTTCCCTTGTATCAAAGATGCCTTTAGGAGGTGGGTGCGTGAATTCCGCCTGGCTCTCCAAGACCACCAGAGGGCGCTCTCAGCTCAGCACAAGCTCCTGCGGAACCAGCTGCTGCGGCTCTTGTTGTCATGGCAACTCCTAGTGAAAGAGTCGAAAACCATCGCTCCGCTATTGGAGAGGAGAGACCTGAAACAGCTGACAAAGTCTGTCTTTTCATCTCCGATACACCTCCTAACCATTTTGGCGTAATCGGAACAGCCCCGATTTTTACGCTTTCGGATTGTAAAAAAATGGAGCTTCCCTTTTTCCATAAGAAAGGAAGAAAATAAAAGAAATGATTAATCCTGGCAAAAGAGGGTGCCATTGCTGATTGGAGTTCACAATTTACAAAAAAAAGGTTACTATTAGCTACATGTACATGTACATGTATGTCGAAATGGCAGCTGTCAATGAAACGTGCGTGCATAAATATGAAAGTACATCTCTTTCAGAACTGCTTGTTTTACTATGACCTCGAAAACTAAATGTTCCAATTTGTGACTTGTCAATGTTGGTAGGTATATGCTTTTTCTGTCAGACAGATATTTTGTAGTCTGGACCCAAGCCTGGACTTCAATTATTGGTCCCCTAACATGTAACATGTGCATGGACGCATTGCCTTCTGGTGCAACGGAGACTTGCTTTGATCTCTGTATTACTTTCTGACCGGATAACATCAGACGGACAGCTGGAAAGCACCAGGCGCCGTCTTTGCAGGCCCTAATTTGCTCACATGCAAAATAACATCCCACCAATTGACTCAAGATCTTTGGTTGTAGTGAGCTGCTCCGTCAGGACTCTTAAAGCGCTTTTATGTGGCCTCCGTTTATTTACATTCAAGTCAGGGGTATACCAAAGATACAGCTTGAAAAAAACTAACTACTGTAGTGGCAGCAATCTTGGAGGCCCAGAAAATTGAGCCTGAGAGGCCTCATTTGTTGGTGCATGGCGATAAGGAAACGTGTTTCCTGTCAGTATGTATAGATTGGTAGAGTAGAGGATGGAATCAAGAACTTGAACTGAATCAGGCTAGAGCAGTTTCAACCAAGAAATTCTAAGCATATCGGTATCCCTCTCTTGCATGTTCAAATCATGGAAAGTTGAGTCATTTGTGCTGAAGTCCTGCTTTGAATTTTACTTAGAATTTCTCAGATGGACTCTCTGGAATTATCAAGACTTGATTTGGTTACTTTTTTATTGGTATTATCCTCTATGGTTGAGTGTTACTGGGGAGCATCTGTGCGCACATATAATCCAAATTCAGTCTTACACCAGGACTAATACATTTGTAAAATACGTAATGTCTTGTTTTTAATTCCTCTTTGTTTGATCTTTTCCTACAACTCAAGTTCGTTTGACGCTTGGCGAGAGGTAGTCTTTCGGAAGAGAACTTGCAAGAAATACCAGGCTCTGCAACTCAGTCGCTCTCTTGGCAGTGCTTTCAAGACGTGGAGGTAGGTTAATAAATTCCTTTGCCTAGTTGTGATGATTGCTGTTTTTCTCCAGCAGCGTGAGGCCGTGTCATCACTGTCATGCAACTTCTACAATTTCCCACCACCAATCAGCCACCTTGGCAGTGGGCAAATGTTTGTTTAGCAACCGTACGTTGTACATTGTTAGGTTGACTCAATGTGGTTCCTCTTCTCATAAACCAACTGTGAATTCGTTATGAAACGGCAAAATGGTTCACCACTTGCGCCGTGGACGTTTATTGTTATCGTAAAACTTCATGTACGATAACACTGCATGTCTCACATACGTCCATATTTCTCTTATACTTTAGCCATTAAGAAAGATTTCAAGGCTTTCCTATTTATGACCATGTACATTGTAAATACTGTGCATGGTATCAAAGTCCCTGTCTATTGCAGTGGTATTTGTATGTCAATTCACGTTGATCGGTGATTGAGAGTGCCCTATTGACACCGGGGGGAGGGGATATGAACACGCACTGTTATTCTTCAGAAGTTCCCATTGGTGCTACAGGCCCACTACATGGAGGGGCTGGTTAGCAGGCTGTGTGCGATGTTCCAACTTGGCTGAGAGCCATGGTTGCCCATCATGGCAAATATTACCCCTCTGAATTTTCACGGTATTCACAAATGGATGACATTACAGGAAGAAATGCGGCGTAAATCTTGCATAAATGACCTCCAAGACTACGCACTTGTGGTGTGCCACTTTGTATAATATAGTCGGGAAGTTGGGTGATATCTTTTCGTGAAAATAGTGACTATCCGCATCGAGCAGAAGCACCCCCTCATCGGTAGAAAACAGCCACGTTGGTAGTGATGCGACGGTGACATGTGCAGTTTCGTAGTCATTCCTGAACCAGTGCAGTTCAGTCCAATCAAAGGAGCCTACGTTGCTAAGCTTAAAAGTGCCCTCTCTTGGTCAAGCTCGAGGTGCATATTGACACTGTAATGCAATTTATCTGTGGAAGGTTTTGAATTCCCACATTCTGTGGAAGGAATGGTGAAATGTGTGCCATACAATGTGAAAAACACCAAAAGCTTAAAAACAACTTGGAACTGCAATTCTCTGTAGGGAGCAAGTTGTGTCCAGGAAGGAGCTAGTCTCCATCCAGGAGTCGTTGATGGCCTCCAAGCTAACCAGGGCCTTCCTGGGCTGGAAAGCAGCTATCCAATGGCAAGTCAGCTTGAAGGCATTCCTGAGGCAGCGGCAAGAGGCAATGGTAAGACGGATCTTTGAAGGCTGGCGAAAGACAGCTGAGGAAGAAATGTTGCTGCTAGAAGTGGAACAAGGGGGCAAGGTAAGAAAATGAGACGGTAATCAAATAGTGGCTTCTGATACCAGCAAGCCCAGTGGGTTGTATGAATATATGTATGTGGGCCATTCCATGAGGTTGGGGCACAATTTGTGATGGTGTCCTTGTTACATGGGTAACTTTTACCATCTGTCATGACCTGTGGAGTAGGTCATTTACTCTGCAAAATAACACACACCTCTGTATTCAGCCTTGCAAGATGTATAGCAATGTCAATGTGGACTCCTTATGCAGGTAAATAGCTGTTCATTTTTTCACGGGACCTATGTAACAATTGACACCGTCACAAATTGTGCCCCAACCTCATGGAATGACCCATGTCTGTGGCATCAAACAGGAGGTACTGGGTCCCAAGCACAAGAAAAATGCATTTGAAACTGCATTACAAATAGCATCCACCCCCAAGACCGATGGTGGTTCAATTCCGAAGTGTGACATTTAGTGATGGTTGTCTGATTTTCACCGTCAGATGAGGGATGTTCTCCTGAAGACGCTTCTTTTCAAGAAGTGGTCCAAAAGTACCCGTCAGCAGAAAGTCATTGAGGCTAGTCTGGTGTCTGACCAAAGAATGAGAAGGCGTGCTAGAACGATCAGGGCAGCGTACAAGCAGTGGAAGAGGCAGTTCTTAGTCCAGATCATTGCCAGGTGCGTGATGTGACAATGAATTCAACTTGAAGCTTACTGCATGGTCATGAACCCTACAGTGTACAGTAGTGTACAGCTTGCACATGCCTGTACAATGTGCAGCATGTACAGGAGGATTGCCATATTTGGCTGAGTCATTACATCATATACCTAGCGTGTTATGACCAATCACAGAGCCTCTTTTAGCAGAACTCTATGCTTTTACTGATTTCTTATTCGTCCTATCTTACCTTGAAACCGGTCAATCAAATTTGTTTTGCCTTGCATATTATCAAGCCAAAGCACTACAGTTTCTTGCCAACTTATAATGTTGCCTGTCTTGAGTTATCAACAATGAATTACTTACGGCTTTGGTCGAGGTAGGGTTTAGAATATGTAGAGTGATGTCTATTCCGTCCATGGTTTTGCACAGCCTAACCAGTCTGTTGCTAATAGACCACTCTGGTCTATATGTTTTGCTCCATGTACTGGAATGCCGAAGAATGACCCGTCCAAATGCGGTCACACTCCTGGATGTATTGTGGCTATCCATGAAGTAACAAACTTTGAAACATTGGAGAAATCTAAGAGAATTTAACTTTCAATTATTGAAATACTGGAAGTCGTCTCTCATCAGATGTCGACAGAACAGATGAGTGATATTCTGATATGTGTTGAACAAATACACTCACAAAATTATGCTTGATTTGTGTTGAGATTTAATTCAACTGAATGAAATTTTAATGGTTTCAATGAAAAACTTGAAAAAGTTACTTGTTTTTGTCAAGTTTGTACTATTGAATGATTGAACACCCAACTATACAAAAGAAAATTTTAACGAGAAATGAAGGATTGAAATGGGGACATGTGTCTTTGCAGGGATGCACAAGCTGACAAGGATGGAAGGTTATTGCACCGTGTCTTCCTGGCGTGGCACCAGGAAACCAGGTCCACTTACGAGCAGCTGACGGAGAGGTTTCAGCTGGCCTACGATGCTATGAGCTCGAGCTTCCCAAGCGATGGAGTCAGTCCAAAGTCGACCCTTGCCGCCCTGACCCTTGACCTGCCCCAGTCTCTCAGCAGCAGCAGTGGTGGATCGCAGGGCCTGCCCGCTCACCTCTCGACGGCGGACAGCGGGTATGGGAACGGATTGGCGCCGCTGCAGCAAGAAGGCCATTCTTGTCAGGAGACACCGCGCTCCCAAGGGGGCATCCTCGACAAAGGCAGGAGCAGTGGTCCACAGGATGAGAACTTTCAACTGGAGACCGGGCGTGGCCAGGTACCACCTCCCCAGCTGAATCGGTATCGAGGGGCTTTGGGAGCTACCCGTGACATTGTGTTATCTTCTGATGATGACTTGTACCCAGATGAGCTTCCTCAACAAGTTGGAAGTCCAAGATTTAGGGAGCAGCAACACCACTTGAAACCACGCCGTCTCCTTACACAACTAAGCTCTTCAAAATTTGACACCCAACCCAAGTCAGCCAGCGGTCTGCAGGCACCTGTCTCCGGCCATCCAATCTCCTTTCTGCGAAGGCGCGCCAGTCTGGATCAGAACATCCTTAGCAGGCCCCAAGCTGATCACAGACATCCAATGAACACAACGACATCCAGTGGTGCATGGGGCAGTGCTCGGAGTGCTAGCATGGACCAGGGTCTTCTGTCGTCGCCCGCTGTTATCAGACACCTGCGGAATGTCCACAGGAAATCGCAGACCGAAAATCCCATGCTGTTCTCCTGGGAAGAAGCACCAGCAGTGGGCTCCGATTCTGGCGTACATGATCCCCCGCTCTCAAAAAGTTCCAGCCAGACCACCTCTTCGCAACCTCAAAGACTTCAAACTCCCAAGAAACATAGAAGTGCACAACTCCAGTTAAGCACAAGTCCATCTTCACATGCTTTTCTACCACTACAAGGCTCACTGTCATCGCCATCTCATACCCCTGGTTCAGCGTCGCCACGATCCCCAGACCTCTCCAAGTCCCTCTCTCCTCTAAGTCCAAGAAGCCGCATGCATTTTGCCCTGTCCGAAGGGCAATCTCAGACCATCTCGGACAGTCGCCACTCGTCCATCTCAGAATCCAGCAGCACCGGACCGGGCAGTACCCACAGCAGCAGTTACTACATGCAGCTGGTTGGGTGTGACCAGAGCCAGTCTGGGACTGCGTCAGAGTACGCGCCCAGCGTGTTCTCAGACGGTGCACCTCCAGTCAGTCCAAGGCTGGACCAAAGGGTGAGTTCTCCCAATTCCTAGAACTTCTCTCAGTGATAGATCCCAATCAGATGAGTAAGAAATCACCTGCTACTTCAAAGTTACGGGTCCTTGAACAAATAATGTGCAAAACAGTCGTTAGGAATTCGGGATGTTATATTCACAAATGGTTGGTTGTAATGGCTGATCTTTTATACATGTACATATCTCACATCAGAGAACTCAGTACATTCCTTTTCATTTACACATGGAATGCTGAAAGTGTATTTTTAACTCGATCCATGGAGCATAGTTATTGTGTAAATTCAGTGAGTAACACTTATACTTTCAAAGGAAGGGTGATCAACATCTTTTTACACATGTACTTGTAGTTCAGGGTTGGCAGTAGTGCCTGCTTTCTGGTTCAAAATAATTTTTCGAAAGTACGACAGGAAAGTTTAAACTTGCAAAAGGTGCTTCAGAGAGAAATGCCTCAAATACATTTTCTCCAAGCAATTTACATACAAAAGTTGACAGGGACTTTAAAAACTTTGGGGGAATCGGGACCACGATGGAAAGTTGGGTAAAAAAAGTACCTGCCGTCTGGCATTTTCTTAAACACTTCTACATGTATGTATGGTCTGTCAGCTGTGAGTCACCCAGACCAATTTTTAATCTCTGTCACAGACCTACCTGAGGTCCATCATCCTTCACTGGCGACTCTGGCCGGCCAGCGCGGCCTTCAACCAGTGGCTGGACTACGTTCGCTACCGTAAGAACCTGCGAGAGATATCCGAACAAGCTGACTGGGTGTTCCACCAGGTTAGACTCAGGCGCGCCCTTGCGACGTGGCAGAGAAGATGCTATGTGGAGAGGCTGGCCAGAAACCATTGGGTGAGTTCTGAGATCATCTGTCTGTTTGGTTCTCAAACTAGTTCCATTTGATAAAACTGCAGTTATATCTATAGAGTACTTGAACGATACGGGCGATTCACAATAGGGCACTCCAAGAGTTAGCAACGTGTTGGCCAATCACCACACGCGAAATCTGTCGACCCATTCCAAACGTTTTTGTGAAATGCCTGTATTGTGCACAAGTGTGAAGTACTATTCACAACAGCTACCAAGACCTATCTAGGCACCTTGCTTTATCCAAATGAAGGTTGAGACCACGTATATTGTTGCCTCAGGTACCAATAGCATATTACTGACGTATTGTTTCCCTAAACATGGGGAAACATCATGTTGTTTCTTTCCTCTGTTGGCACGCCGCCTGTCTTTAGAATATCACCTCAAATTGAACAGAAAAGTGAGTATCGTTGTTCATAAGCTTGCGTTCATAAGCTTGTTCACCAATATAAAAAAATTAGCACGTTTTTTGGACAAGATATTTTTGCAGCGTGGAATAATAAAATGTAGTTTGAGGAAATTTGCTGCGTGAAAATGCCTCTTCGTAAAGACGGATGAAATTTAAAGATGGCAAGAAGAACTTGGTGAAAAAGGCAAGTGTATACTCTCATCAAGGGGGAATGTTTGACTGTTTTTCAGGAAATGAGGACCAAAGCAATCCACCTCATGACATGGATGCAGCACAGTCAAGACCACAAGAGGTGTAGCAGGCAGAAGGTTGCAGCAGACAGCATGGCCTGTGGGAAACGACTCGCATCAGCATTCCACTTCTGGAAGACAAAGGTATGGACACTTTCCTTGTTTCTTCATTCAGCAGAAAACGAGGTGATAACATCCTTTAATCTAAGTTGCTTGGAAGTAGTTCCTCGTTGGGATCCCATCAGAGCATCACTTCATGTCTTTGCATTGTCTATGCATTTACCAAGTTTAAGCATTATTGGATATTTAGTCCTCATGTACTGTGCAACTTCGAATTAATGTTGATGCAGTCTGAAGTTAGTTATTAGTTCACCTTTAATAGAAAATGCATGCAAAGTCGATGGAATTTGGGTGGAAGAACAAGACAAATGTCAATAAAAACGAGCTTTTTCTTCAAATTACTGGAAAAGCCAAGAAGCGTCTTAGCATGAAATTGATTTTGTAGCCACTGTTAACATTGTGAGATCATTTCTAAAGCGACGTCGTGTCTCGCCCTGCAGTACAAGAAACACAAGGCGGTCTTGAGCATCGTCCACAACTGGAAGGGCTACGTCCAGCAGACGGTGGACCTGGAGGACCGCACCAAGGACCTCCGACACCAGATACAGCGACGGACGGCGCGGGAGTGCTTCAGGTCATGGAAACTACGGACCTGGCAGATACTGGAAGTGAAAGCACACCGCAATCGAGTGATCACAAAGAGGTGCGGGCCCAATGATACATTATGAAAGGATCCCATAAATTGAGGCTGAATGCCGTTTCATTCCGTCATTTTGTTCTAGCTGCATTAGCCACTTCGCGCCGGGCCCATTTGTCTATGATAATTCTGCTGGGCCGGGTGACTTTTCTTTTTTTTCTGCTGTCAAAATTCTCTAAAAATTCATAACTTCTTTACTGGATGTTTACACCCACATGAAGGACTGTCTAGTGGCTACTCTACTCTGACAGACAACATCTATTGATGCCCGAGTATTTCAGCCAGGCCAGCTGCCTTGTAGAAAGAGCCAAGACTGTGTGGTGTTATGTAATTTTCTTAGTTCCTGAAACTGGCTTAGTGCGCTGCTGACGTCTTTTTAATAGGGGCCAGATTAGCATGCAGCGGTATTGTATCGCTCATCACTGGAGCGCTTTTGTCCCCGGTGGTAATCCGCACTGAATGCCTTCATCATCTTTCAACACAATGACAGATTTCCTCCGCTATTGACAACTGACAAAACGTTGGCAATTCTCCGCAGCTTAGTCTTTTGTTCCAAGTACAGTCCTTTTATTACAAGGCCCAGCTCTTTTTTCCGATTTCATGCTCCCGGCTTCGTGTATAAAGCCTTTGTGCCCGAAGCCAGGTACACCGCCACAAAGCGGTTAAAGATGGCAAAATGAGCTCTTTGTTTGGCTGCATCACTGAAGTTTCAATGCGTGATGAAAATTGACATTATTAGGGTTGAAACTATTGAGGGTTCCGGTTGACTTACATTGTGCAAGACTCTATGCAAAGCCTTTAAGTCAAAGTGGTTGCAGTGAGTTTCAAGTAGTTTCTAAGCTTAGATTTTATATTATTAAGACATACAATTCTGGATCTCTCTTAAATTGATGAATGCTGAGTAGGGCAAAGTTCATTTCTCGCATACAATGCAGCAAGAACGTCTTTGCGTTGCAGGCGGATTTGGACATGCTACCTATGCCAGGGTGTCTGGGCACATTAGGGCTTCTGCTGTTTAATGTCTTGTCATTCCTTCCACTACAGATGCCTTGTCGCCTGGGCAGTATGGAGCAGAGAAGCCACAGCCAGGAGAGAGAAGTTGCAGTCATTCCAGACCAGGAGAATTAAGCTGTTGGTAAGCAGTGGCGTAACCGGGCTACATTTGCAGAGGGGCACCCTGGGGGCCCTAATTTTCTGCAGGGGGCACTCAGTGGGTTCAGTCACAGTTGAAAACACTGACCACTGAAGACACTGATAGGCAGAATGTCACCCGATTGTTTTCCTCCTCGGGGGGGGGGGGCATTGGACGGGGGCTTGTGCACCCCCAGTCTCCCCCTTACTTACATCACTACTGGTGAGACTTGATCAATTAAATAAGCATTTTGTGGTGTTGTGAACACCAAGAATTTCAAGGAGTTTTCTCTATGCTATCGACAATTCATAGAAAAAACAGGAAGAACTTTTTTCAGTTTCACACATCCTTTAAGCATCTACTTGAGTTGGCCAGAGACCTGTTCTCACATCATTGCCACACGTTGGGACAGAAAATGTGGTCAGAGCTTCATAGATACAGTGGTGTAGAATCGGGGGTTTAACCCCTTCACTCTGGGAACCCTGGACAGCCGTGGCTTTGTGTGAGGATTAGTGCATACCGCACATACATTCTGTTCATCATGCACCTGCAGTTTCAATGTGGGCCTGCTGCTGGACAAAGCTTTGCATACTTGGCATACCACAGCCCAGCAGTTGCGATCAAAAGAATTCCGGCGTTAAGGGGCTAAGGGTGATATTCAGTCTCTAATATTTTGTAAAGAGTGCCCTTTTCCGTCATAAGTGCCCTCCTCCAAACTGCCAGTAGCGCAACTTTTTACACCGTTCCTTTTACTAATGCCACACTTAACATCAGAATTGCACAACCATATGAAAAGCTCCACCTATGTTTCCATGCTTTCCACTTTGAACAGAGCCATAATTAAAATCAAGCCCTCCCTGTGAAAAATCTCAATTCTGTCTTTCTTGGATTGTTCGTTGGTATTTACCAGTATTGGCACTTTAAAAAGCTGTAAATATGACTCTCGTTGAAAGTCTGAAAAACATTGAATTTGTAGGTGTTTCACTGCTGGCAATCTCATTTGACAAAACTCCAAGCTGCCCGGGGGTTCCACCACCGGGCTACCGCAGCCCGTCTTAGGAACATTGTCAGGACGTGGAGCACCTACATTGCCAGCAAGCAGCAACTGGAGGCGACCGCTGCTCGGATGATCCACGGACGAGAGGAGAGAATGGTCGTGGAGGCTTGGAAGTCGTGGAAGAGGCAGGTGCAGCGACGGCAGCAGATGAAGCAGCTGTACCTCACCAACTTGGCCAGAAGGTATGTATGTGGTTCAGTGTCTTGTGAGTACCCTCATTTGGCCTCAGTGTTCCAGCCATTGTCTGTGTTTCTCTATTTACTCCCAGCCATTTCAAGCGTTCAACACGGTGACTGCCAACTACGAGATTATTTCGTAGTAATGGGTGTATTGCAATTTTGCTAGTACGATATGCCCACAGTAAATAATGGGTTTTGAAGTTTTGTAAAAATGTACTGTCAGGTCTCTAAGCCTTAACAGTAAACCCCTGGCTGATTGGAGAATTCTGGTTTTTTTGTTATGGTTGTGTTCAATTTCTCACTGATTGCTATTTTTCACTGCAAAAGTAATGTCAGAAATATGCAAAAATGGAAATATCATTTCACCAACAGATGTGCTTTATTTCATTCAGTATTTAGCAAAACGAAAGGCAGTACATGCACATTACTGTACAGTTGTTGAATGACCCTGTCAAGAATTTTGGTAGATGCAAAAGAGCAGTTGACCCTATGCCATAGCCAGCCATGAGTTCCCTCTGTAGTGGTGCATTTATTGTGACACACTCAGATATATATGTGTGCATGGGCACTTTGGTTTGCAATTAACATGTTAAAAGTAACCTGCCCATAATTGTTTCCTACTGTAGTTTAACTATTGTTACAATGTACATGTATGTCTGTGTTTTTCCTCAGGTGTGTTATGCTTACATGTATGCCCCAAAACGGGCTGCCTCTTGTTATATGGCATTTGAAAAACTGAATCAGTGTGCAGCTAAATTTGCCTGTTGTTCTTCATAAGAAAGTAGGAGTTTTTTAATCAGTGTTCCTTGGTTTTAATAACTCAGTTTTAATGTTCATGTATTGCACTGTGTTTTTTCTTTCGTAATGGTTACTTTTGTCGATGAATTTTGCTTTTTGTAATGATTTGTCGTGTAATTTTTTTCTTCAAATCCTGTGTGTTTTTTACTGTAATTTGGCCTCTGACCACAAGAGTGAGAAACAAAAACAGAACTATTTTTAATTATAAATATTACCTGGCTAAAATTAGCAACAGCAATAGAGGTTGGGACGTTGAACCTTTTCCACCACATTGGAAGTGCAGAGATATGTGTTGGTTGGTTTGTTGGCTCAAACTATTTTTGTGACATCTTTGAAACCGGAAATTGAATGAGCCAGTTGGTTATTTATTCCAAGTGCCTTGTCAGCCAAGAACAAAACAAGTGTGTGAGTTGGTGCACAGCCAGGCTGATAGGGTAGTCCATGGGCATCCGCATCTCTATTTCCGAGTCAACCTCTGAGGAGCCACATTTTGGGCGCGCTCTGTTGGAATTCTGAACCGGCTCATTGTGCAAGGCTAAATCTTGTTTCCTCTTCAGACACCTGTTAGCCTGGCACATTCACGCGTCCCGCCAACAAACCCTGAACGTCGCCAGCGCAGTCGCCAAGGACAGGAGGAACACCAGCCTGTTGCAGAACTCGCTGCAGGCGTGGCGTCGAGCACGTTGCGCCAGTCAGCTGGCCTGCCAGATGCAGGCCAGGCTTGGAGATAAGCTGATCAGAAAGGCATTTTGGGATTGGAGGAAGTACACGAGGCATTGCCGCTGTGAGAAGTACGGTCAGATGAGGCTGCTGAAGTTGGTAAGGATTCTCTCTGGACTGGCTCCCTGAAACGACATTTAAAAACAGACACTTTTTGGGTATTTCAACTGATAACGTTGACGTGTCATTGCTCTTCACTTTTACTTTTTTGGTCTACGTCAAACCTAAAAAGCCCTGGTCTGTCCCCCCCGGTCGACAGAGTCCTTCAAAGCTTTTTAACCCTATAAGCTTACTCGTTATTTGTTTTCACGCAAGGACATCCTGAAATCCTTCAAAATCCAGCTTTGTGCATTAGAGCCAATAGCGCTGGCTGCCTTTAACCCTAAAAAAGGAATTTTTTGGTAATCGGTTGGGAAGGGATCACTTATGCTCTTTTTAAAATTAAATGAAATATTCTGCCTAGGTATTTTTGTTGCACTTGTCAATTTTTTGAATTAATATTGAAGTGGAAGCCTTTATTGATCGTTGAGGATTTTAAAAAAAAAACATTTTAGGCCCTCCATAAGTGGCGGTCTCGCTGTGTGAAGCAAAAGTCTTCAAGACAGACTGTACTCAGGGTGGCCCATCACTGGAGGAAACAAGCACAGCGATCAAAAGACCTTGACCAGTCACTGGACTCCTACCTCGCCCGACGGGATGCCATGAAACGCAGGCAGGCATTGGAGGCCTGGATGTTGGCTTGGCAACAGCAGAGGCGTGCAGTGGCCCACCACAGTAGCGTAGCACTCGGAAGGTTAGAATTGGTTTGCAGAATTGGCATTGCAATACTGGGCTTTAATTGTCGCATAACATGCTTATTATTAAGTCTTATATGCTTTTATTAGCATTGTAAACTCTGCACAGGCTAAACCGCGGAGACAGAAAGGGCGCTCCCGTACTTGTTTGTGGGCATCCCCATGCTTAATCACTTCATGCCGGGCGACCCATTTTTGAGTACGTAATCTTTATATACAGAGCTGGGGAGGCCGGAACTGGGACGAAAGAGTTGGGCCACATAGCAAAAGACCGTGCTCAGCACAGAACACTGAGCTGCTGGGCATTACCGACATTTTTTGCTCTCAATAGATAATCCAGCCTTGTTTTGAAACAGTATACCATGGATTGAGGCATTTAGAGCGAGTGGATTACCACCGGGGACAAAAGCTCTCCACCACTGCAGCGATGAGCCACACAGCACCGCTGCACGCTAATCTGGCCCTTAATGAAAAGAGGTCAGCAGTGCACTCTGCCGGTTTCAGGAACAACAGAATCTTACGTAACACTGCACAATCTGGGCTCTTTTTCCAAGGCTGCAGGCCTGGCTGAAATATTCAAAAGCCAATGAAGGTTAACTGTCAGCTTTAGAGTAGTCCCAAAGAGTCCTTCATGTGGGTGTAAACGGCCATTAAATGAAATGATGAATTTTTGAAGAATTTTGAAAATGGAAAATCTTGAAAAGGACCTTACATCTTGTCTTGCTCAAGAAAAATCCTCCCGGCAGCAAGTGGTTAAGGTGCACACGCATATTATATGCATGTACATGTAAGTCACAATAGCCCTATTAGCCGGAGAGGCAAGCAACCTGTGATCTAATGTGATTCCACCCCAGCAATGACTTCTAGTTGTTGTCACAGATAGTCATGAGGAGTTTTTAGACAATAAGCCAAGAATTATACCAAGTGTGGGCCTCTAACTCTGGCAGAGTGTACAAAAAATTTGTCTTTTGCAGTGGATAGAAAAATTATATCGGCACTGATCTTTTTCAACGGTTGTAGGTGTCTGAGTGCCTGGTGCACGTTTGCTTCCAATCGGAGACAAAGGCAGACCGCACTCCAGCTCTGGCAAAACAACAAATGCAGGAAAATGGTAAGCTCCCTTCTCGTTGTGCCACAAATTCTTGTGTGACCTCATGGATATGAGCTGTTGGCTGTTGAAGAAAAGTGGTAGAGGGCGCCATTATGTGAACATTCACTAGTCTAGTAAGGGCACCTAGCAGGCTCACGCACACATCCAAGTTGAAACTGTAATACACAATATTAGTGGAACATTCTCTTAAGCATTTCCCACTGACATGATTTGACATTGACAAGTTTAGATAAGTAGGGTTCAGGTTTTAACAACCATGAACATGTACATGAGGCTTCTGCAAAGCCATAAATACATGTACCTGTATATATCCAAATAGGTCACTTGGGAGACATTTTGTGGTAAATTTCTCAACATTAGGGAGACATCGGTCATTAGGGAGACATTTCAATGTCTCCCTAATGCTCCAACCACCAAAAGGAGGAAAATTTTTATAGTCCACATTTTGAGAGATGATAGATCAGGGTCTGAAAGAAAAACATGCAAATTTTGGTTAAGATCGGATTAGGGAATATTGAATTATGGGACGGTAAAGTTCGAAAAACTTTGTGCAGGTTCCTATGGAAATGCCTCCCAAGTGACCCATTTTCGGTAATTATTATTTGCACAATTGTGTTCACCGATTGCTCGGGGTTGTGCAAAAATTGTTATTGACTGCTGGACCCTTTTTTTTGTTGACTGTTTATAACAGTGAAAAAAATTAACAAACAGAAGAGCATGGATAGGGTTTCCACAGTCATTGAAAATCCTGCAAAATTCTGGCAAAAATTTGTACTCGAAAGTCACGGAAATTTGGAAAAAATGTGGGTTTCCTTGAACCCTGTTGTCAGAAGAAGAATTGTTCTAGAAAATTGACAGCAGTCAAGATCATGCAAGGGTTATTTTGGATGGTCTTCTTTTGGGATGACGGACTAACGATAAATTTGCAGGCTACATGTCAGTCTTCGTTGCTAGGAAAATTGCGCCCTCTCTTGTTCCAGCTCGGGGCTCATATTCGTCCTAACAACCTTTCTGTGCAAAGTGGTTTGTGTCATGGAAAATGTCATATAGTTGTCAGGGAAAGTCTTGAAAAAGACAATGAAATATGGTTTTCAGATTTCTGTTGGATGAATCTTCAATGTTTAGCCACATTAGCTACAATTGAAAGCAAGTGCAGCAATCAACAATGCCAATGTATGAGTTCTTAATCACTGCACAACCGTAGAACAGTGCAGTTCTGGCTGCATTTTGAGGCAGCTACAAAGTCAAAATACTCATAAACACCTCATTGATAAACTGCAAACAAGTGTTGAGTGTCCTTCACCGGACCGACCTGAGCGTGCGCTTACATTTTTAAGCACAAGGCCTTCTTAGCACTTTGTTGCTGATTCCTGGCAGCTGTCTGCATCCTTTGAGAAATGGAGGAAAAACCACCGGCGCTGCTTAGAACTGGAGACCAGAATGGCTGGATTCCACCAACAGAGGGCAGCAGAGCTGCTGGCTGCAGTGGTGCGAGCCTGGCATCATGTGACCATGGAAGGCGTGGCAGTGCGGCGACACAACAGGGCAATTCAGGCCAAGGTACATGTACCTTCATCATTAAACCCTGACTTCACATCTTTTTTTTTTACGTAGTGGCTTCACAAAAGGAGTCATCTGCAGTAAAATGCACCACCAAGTATTTGTTGTGGAGAACTTTTTCCAACCACATGTCGTCACTGTAAATTTTTTTTTTCATTACTCCGAACCGTAGGGCACTTTACCCTGATTTGAATTTGAATTCTCCACATTAAAGACACTGTTGCTATACCTCAGGATTTTTAAGCTTTTCCTTAGTTACATAAGAGATGCTTTGCCTCAATGCACTGTTCTCGATGGATAAGAAGGGCACAAAGGAACCAGTCCATTCCAGAGATGGCGGTCGCTATGCAAACACTTGCCCCGAATCACAAAGCATAGCAACAGTGTCATTAGTTTGGGGAATTTAAATTGTTCTGTATATGTGCAATCAGATAACTCAGTCTACCAGATTTTATTCAAATTTAACTCGCAAAAGGCTGAGGCTGCGTCCGAATCTGTCCTAGAGCTAGGTCTAGGACTTCGCTCCGTAGGAAATACGTTGAGACATCAAGACATTAGAACTAGCTGTAGCTCTGGAAGCCCGTTTCGGACACGGCCTTATTGTTTCTGCATGAGGCTTTGCTGATGTCGCATGTAAACAATGATGGGTGATAAATGGTGGAACAAGGTAAAACGGAAAGTGGACCGTGAAGTTATAAGAATATTCAGACAATACTGTGGCTCACTTTATCAGGAGTTGCTCATCATGCTGGTGTCTTCTTCAATTTCATGTCACCGATCCATGAATTTTGTTGTCATCACTTCCAGGCCTGGCAGCATTGGCAAAAAGCGTTGAGCAATACCCAGGCTGCTATGCAGGTTGCTGAGACGAGGCAGACTCAAGTAAACCATGCCATCTTCCGAGCTCTTCGAGACTGGTGTCGAGGTGATCACATGCTGGCCGTCCATTGATGTAGAATTGTGTTCAGGCCCCTGCCAATTACAGTGCTATGAACTCTTTTGAGAAACTCAATAGTTCCATCACCACCCAGGGGCATAAATCCCAGGGGAGAAGGGGGTATATATCTCCCAATTTTAGTGTTAAGACCCACCCCGATGTGCAACTGCATCATAAAGAATCACCCCCACCACCACTCCCACCCCCACCCCCTCTTTTTGGATTTCAACAGTGGGGGAGGTTTAGGATTTGATTGTGTCCCAGCCGTCCCATGACCTCACTTGCCAAAGTGGATTTGTGCCACTGGTTGTCACTAACACAACAGTGTTATAGTGGTATGAAACTATTGACACTTGGTAGGTCTTGTTCCCTGACCCTTCTCCCATATACAGCCAGGAGAGCTCAGAAGGAGTTGCAGCATTTGGTAGCGGCCCGTCACAGGTTACACACCCTAAAAGCGATGTTTGCACAATGGAAGACTGAAGCATCAAAAAAATCAAGGGCCAAAGCACATGCTGATCAAGTCCTTCAAAGCAAGTATGTGCATTTCCAAATACTTATTTTAGTCACTGATTTATTTTCATTTGACATTTTCCATGTTTGCTCAGTGAGATTTTCCTTCCTTGTCTTTTGCACCATTATCCATGCCATCATGTCATCTCTAGTTGTTGTTCATTTTTGTTTTGTTTACTTCGGCTGAGTTTGAGTCAATAGATAAAAAAACAATGACAGGAACACAGATTTATTTGGTTTTGCTGTTGCAGTTTTCTGACTTTGGAGGGTACTTTGCCTGGAATTATAATGTACACACATGGTTTCGAGGGCTAGGACATATTGAGAGTGCAGTTCACTTGAACTGCTTTTGGGTGAAGATTACACACTGACTTGTGGCAATCGATAACAAAATGCCCCCCCAAAATAAACAGAATTGACTGGAGTCCTCCAAAAGTCTGTAACCATGTTGTTTTGGAAATTTTCTCATGTGCAGTTTCCAAGTTCTTTTGAACACAAATGGTACTGCACCAACCTGTCATGGTGAATAGAACTTCCAGATTACAACAAAGATTTGAATTAATAATCGTGTCTTTCTGTTTTGAGCCCTGAGCTGGACCAAGAGAGGGCGCAATTTCCCCTGCAGTGCTAGCTCCTTTCGTAGGAACTGCAATTTGCTGGTTCGCAAACGAGTATGAAATGCACGTGTTATTGTTACGTTGCTACTAACAAAAGGAGCACTCCTGACCAACATGGTTCTTTGCTACCGATGAGTGGGTGTTTCTGATTAAGGGGGATAATGAACCAGTTCAGTATTCCAACAGTACATGCCCAAAAATGAAGCATATCCGATGTCATTTAGACGCACATACAAGGTTTGTCATACCAGCGCAGCCAAATGCAGACCCGCGCACTTGCTTTGTTGCCGAATGACCTGGCTTTTTTTTAATACCGAACTGGCTCATTCAAAGTGTTACTGGGTTCTTTCAGAGTGCTGCACAAATGGGCTGTTGTGGTTCAGCGAAACATCACCCTGCGAGTTTTATCACAGACCTCTCAGAGGGCGTGCAGCAGGCTGAGGCAGAAGGCTGCCTTTTGGGTCTGGGCCAGCCAGCTGCGCCGAACCCAGCTCCTCCGTGACCGCCTGGAGGGTGCCCTCGAGAGGCGACACCAGGCCACACTGGGCCGGCATTTCATGGAGTGGAGGCAGACGGCCCTGGCCAGCCGTGCAGCCCGACACCGAGACAGTGTGCTGCTGAAGCAGGGATGGTCAGTCTGGAGACGCAGAGCGACAGAGAGAGTCCTGGAGAGGCAGTTCGAGGAGGACATGGGGGAACTGGCAGATGCCCACTACAACAAACACATCAGGTATCATTGACTTCCCGTCAAAAACAAAGTCATTCGTGGCCAGGTGCCACAAAATGGGTGTTGACCCTGAAAAGAGCCGTCAAGGTCTCTACATTTTCTCCAGTATTGTTGCAAAGTGTCTCTACATCACACAAAGCCTTGAGGGATTGTTGTCTAATGATGTCACACAGTCATTTTGACACCAGTTTTATGAAAAAGAGACACTGTTTTTTGGTCAAATGTCCATTTTTGAGAAGTCAGATTGGCCAACAATATTGTCTCATTGAAATTGCGAGCCCATAAGGTACATAAATAAGTTCCCCCTTTTCTTTGGCCCTCTTCAGCAAGATGGTGTTGAGCTCCTGGTTGACGGAGGCCAGGGTGGGCAGACTGAGGCGGAAACGCAGCCGCAGACTGGCAAAGAAGTACGCCCTCATCTGGAAGAACGGCTCCCGGATGGCCCACACCGCATCGGCCTTGGTAAGCCGCATCCCATCCCGTTCCATCCGCCGCTGTTGTAAATTCCAGCGTGGCGACCAGAAGCTCAGAATTCCATGATTAGTGAAGTTACATTTAAATTGGCTAAGGCACCTGTTTCACCAGACAACTTTTTTTTCCAGTATTAGCACAGACTGTATCCAAGATCATCTGCTCTTGTAGCTCTTTGGCAATGTCCCTAGGAAGTCAATTTCTCAGAGGTTACTTTCAGATGAAATGATTCTAAAGAGAGACATTGGGTAGTATTCATTTACCCTAGAGAGCGATAACAGAAACTGGTATCTTACAGTATACCATTGCTGTCTGCTGTGATGGGGTCCATGGTGTTTTGTACTGCCTAGAGCGTAAATGGCCCCCCCTTGGCTGAGCCTTAGCAAATACGAGTGTAAGGGCAAGAATTCAGAGAAATTTATTTTATAGGAGAAAGATGCATTTCAATAAAGTTGTCTTCGACAACAAAGTGTTTAATAGTTGAAGAAATTGAACTGAATAGAATAATCGGTACATGAAGGAAGGACCATCTTTTCGTTGACATCGTCAAAGAAATCTTGCAGTGTACCATTTTCTCACACCAACAGTCTCTCAGTCTTGCCTGAAGAGATGGCTGATTGGCCAGCACCTGCAGTCTGAGTGCTGTATCTTTGAAAAAGCACTCATCAGGTTTCTAAGCGCAACATTTATCGCCCAACTACCCGGAGTGTGATCTTAGAGCATGCCAGTACAATCCCATACAAAACTGTTGGATAACTCTGAGTGTGATTCTCTTTGTGAACAGGATGTGTATTCGTCCATGCGGAAAGTCTGGGTGGTCTGGAGACGACGCATGATTCAGAGCCTGATGTCCAAGACAATGCAGCAACACAGCGATCGACAGCTAAGGGAGCAGGTCAGTTGATCTACTTTGCTCAAAATACCATGTACCCAATTTCTAATTGCTTTCATAATTTTGTCTCCTTTACTTCAGCACTGAGCATGCCATTCAACTTTCAAACTCATATTCATTTTGTCCAAACTGTACTTGAAGCTCCCTTGTACTCATACTCCTGTGATTTTTCCATTACTCAGTGTTTTCTTGCCAAGACTTTCTCCAGTCCTTTTACTACTTTGCCACAACTCAAGTGCTCTTCTCCTACTCTAGTACTTACATGTATTTCTGCCCACACTCAAGAACTATTTCCAAAACTCTGTTACTTTGTCATGACTCAGGTACTATTTCTATCAATAATTTTCCCACCACTTGAATTCTTTGCGTGCTACTCTAGCACTTTTATGACTTCTCAAGTTTAGTACGTTTTCTTCTTTTGTTCTTTTCACTGGTCAAATTACTTTTTCGTTTACTCAGTTACTGTTTCCACTGGCTAAATACTATTTTATTCAGGCATACTAGCCGTACTCATTCGTGAGTGTCTTATCAAGGGATGAAACAATTCTTAATCCAAACTTGTCATGTTTCTAGCTCCCAAAGGATTGTTTATGTTCTTTGTACTTTAGTACTTCAGCTTTCACTTCATGTGGTGTAGTACTTGTTGCTTGGTTCTCATCCTGTCATCCTTTGCTCTCATCATTTTCCCTATTTCAATCCTTCTCAAGGTCGTCTCTTTCTTTGTGACATACAACTTAACAATGCTTTCATCTA